TCCCTGCCTGGCCACGAGCGCCGGGCAGGCTGGCACGGTTGCTCCACCCGCACGCCTCCGCCACCTCTCCCTCGGCATCACCCTGCTCTGCCGGCACACGCCAGCATCCCGCCTGCGCACCCTGATGCTATTTCAAGGTTCTGAGGGGTTAACCCAGCCCAGGCTCACCGGGTTGCTCACCCCTCTGAAACGGGGTGGGGTAGGGGGGCAGGGGAACAGCCTCCCCACATCCCAGGGGGGGGTCCCAAGGGTGGAGAAGGGGCCCTGGTTCTGCTGGAGGTGTTAGGACTGCCCTGCCAGTGGCCTGCTGCTGCCTTGGCTGGGCTCCCCTGCGCCTGCACCGCAGATATTTGCCGAATTATTCACATTTTCCGGCTGCAGGGAGGATCCAGGCTCGGATTCCCCCAGTCCAGGCTCAGCCTTTTCCTGCCAGCCTGCTGGGGTGGGAACACTGTGTCCCCCCCTCTCTGCCTGCAGCCCCCCGAGCTAGGCCGGCCTGCTGCCTGCCCAGGGCAAGGGACTCAGCAGGGACACACCACTTTACACCTGCCACGTGTTTTAGGGACGAGGCCGATGCTATCCCTGTGCCACAGTGTGACACTTGTGCAGGAAGGGCCAGAGGAACCCTCTTGGGGGTCCCTGCCATTCCTCACTGCTTGGGGACAAGGCCTTTGTCCCTGGGGAACCCAGCATGGCCAGGATGCCCCTTCCCGCACCAGCGAGTGATATCCCGCCACTGAACAAAGCCACCGTTGTTGCCGGCAGGCAGCCAAGCCGGTGAGCTGTTGCCTCGGCCAGCGGGCACTGGCGTAGGCAGGACGGAGGCCCTGGGCTCTGCCCCCGTCACTGCATGGAGGGACACAGTGCCTTCACCAGGCAGGACACAGGCACTGCTCCCCGCCCCTATGCCTCCCCCACTCCAAAACAAGCCGATGTCAGCACGTGCCCCCTCCCAAGACCCAGCCGGGAGGATGAAGGATTAAGCCCTTAATCCTCCTCCCCTTCAACCCACCCTGCGCCACCGCAGCTCCCACCTCCTCCCAGCCTCCCCTCCCTATTTAATTAAAGTTTCCGCAGCAGCCCCGGAGGAATGCAGGCCTGGTTATTGCATTCCCCAGGGCACTCACCAGCCCCTCTGTCCCGCTCCTGCCCCTTTGACCCGGCCGCGCTCCCCAGCTCAGGTACCAGCAAGGAGAAAAACCAGCAGAGCTGCTTTACCGTCAGCCAAACCGCCTCCGGAGGAGCCGGAACAGTGGCGGAGGTTGGGAGGAGGCCGGCGATGCTGCCACGCGCGGCCCCGGCAGCACGGGCAGATTCCTACGGCGTGACTGGGGCAGCCGTGGCTGTCCCCGAGTGCTTCCTCCTGCCGCGTCCTGCCGGCAGAGCCAGCCGGGCAAGCAAAGCTTGCGTCAGGGCCACCCGGTGAGGCCACCCGGCCTTGGCGTGGTGCAGGGAAAAATAGTAATTAGTGTCATCCTTGACAGCGGCACTGCCCAGCACCGTGTGGGCAGTGGCACGGCCCCAGCCGGGTCAGGCCAGTCCGGCTGCCCTGGTCCCAGTAGAATGAGACCTGCTGGCGTGAGGTTGTTGGCAAGAGTGAGTGTATGAGGGGAACACGAATGGGGGGTTTTGGTTGGGAAGAAGGATCTTGGAAGTGGAGTATCTCTGCTGGGATGTGCTGGCTCTCATGGCAGCTGTCAGCCCAGGAGGGAGCCAGGCATGGAAAAGGACACTTACCCCATGGTGGCTCAAAGTCACACCTAGAGAGGGTGACAGGGCCAGCACCCCCCAGTGCAGGTCGGGTGATGAAGTGCACAGAGAGCTAGTGGTGGGCTATCCCCACTGGCCAGCAGCCAGACTGGCCAGTGGCCCTACTGGCACCTGTCCCTCTGTGCCAGCCAGGGGGGAACCCTCACCAGCACTGCCCACAGACCCCGCTCGGCCCCACAGCGGTTCAGCAGCCCAGGACGCTGGCCCCTGAGGACAGGCAGGACGAGGGCAGCCAAACCCCACCCCAGCCGAACCCTCCACTGCGGAGGGTGGTGGTGGACACCGCTGCCAGCAGCTCCCACCTCTGCCTGACCCCAAAGGGCGAGCCCAGCCGCCACGTCTGCCGGGACAGGGTGAGCATGGGATGGGCCTAGAATCATGCCAGTTCCGTGGGGGTCCTGGAGCCCTTCTGCTGGCAGGGTGGGTCACAGCCACTTGCCCATGGCTGGAGGGAGCTGGGCTCCATGTTAGCCCCAGCCACATGCCTCCCCTTCCCCATGACAGAAGCAGCACCAGGCTGAAGTCCCCGGGCCAGCCGTCACTGGCACATCCCATGGCAGGATGGGCAGAGGCAGGGACAGGGGGCCTGGGGCCCTGCCTGCACCCTCATCCCTGCCCAGTGCAGTGCTGTCACCTCCACCCGGCAGAGCCTCATCACCAGCCCCGGTGGGGGATAGCCAGGTGCCCCCAGCTCAGCCACGGCCTGGGGGGCAGCAGGGCACGCCGACCTCCAGCCAAGGCCTGGAGCGAGGTCCTGGCCCCGGGTGCCCTGCCTGCAGCCGAGGCTTTGGGTGACACCCTGTCACCCGCGGAAGGCAGCCGGCCCCGGGCGCCC